CCCTCCTGCTGAGCCCCCATGTGCCCCTAAGCACCCCACATCCTCCTGCTCCCCCAGCCACCCAGCTTCCCTCAAACAGCTCCCACAGTAGCCTGTCACCCTCGTGTGGTCCCCCAGTACCTCTGGCCTCTGTTAACACTCAATCCCCCTTCCCCATCCCCATTTTCCTGCACCCCCAGAGCCTTTCCTTGCAGCTCTCCTGCACCCCCTAGCCAGGTAGTAGCCCCCTTTCCCTACCTGCCCCCCCTTACACCAGCATCCTGCCTTCCCTGCCTGCATGCCCCAGCATTTCCACAAACCTATAACCCCTGGATAATCCTGACTACCACGTCTCCCTACCCAACATACCCTTCTTCCCCTTTACCCCTCTTCATACTCCCCCACCTAGCTGCCCCCCTTTCCTCCCAGCTAGCCCTTCCCTGGATTTCACCCCTTGCTTGGGCATCACAGCCTGTCCTGGCACTGTGTTTGGGGCAGGAACATGTGTTTTGGGGGAAGAAAGAATGATGGGCACACCCCATCCCACCCTGTACCCAAGTGGGGGGGATTTCTCCCATGGTGGCAGTGTCCCAGGAGTCCCATGGGGAGACCTTTGCCCCATCTCCCTTCGGTTTCTGTGACGACCAGGCGTGCAGGCGGACTTTGGAGGGGCTGGTGGGTGATTAACCATCTTGCAGCTCTTTCCCCAGAGCTTTGCAGCCCTGCTCCCAGACATGGCACCTGGGAAGCCTGGGAAGAGCGCGGGGGCCTCAGAGAACCCCTCGGTTACGCTTTTCCGGGAGTACCTGAGGATTGACACTGTCCACCCAAAACCTGACTACGGTGAGGATGGGGGGACAGGACGGGGAGCCATGTGGGACTGGGTAATGCAGCTTTGCAGCTCTGATCTTTGGACCCAGGTGCCCAAGTCCTGTACTGGGACTGTTTTGATCGTGGTGTTAAGGAGCGAACACCTTGTGTCTTATCTCTGCTGGTGCCTTTGGTTGGGGCAGGGACATCTCAAGTGCCCTCAGAGCTGCTGTTTGCTTCTTCTAGCCCCGTGTCCCTTGCTCCACTTTCCATGCTGCCCTGGGATGGGTTATTTCCTTCTGTGTAGATCTCTTTCTGTAAACATTTGTGTCTTCCTACTAAAGTATATTTTATCGGTGAGGAGCTCCGTAAACTCCACTGCAGAAACACTCCCCCTGAACTCACCCCCTTTCAAAATTTTTTTTCATATTTCCCAAGTCCTCACCCCAAAGGGATGGTGATGAGCTTCTCCCATCCCTGTTTATGGCCACTTCTTGTGTCCAGGACCTGCAGCACCTGTCCTGTTTTGTCACCTCTTTCCTTGCTCTGGGAACCCCACAGAGCCTTGGGGTCCCTGGGGGTTTGCAGTGAGTGACCCCAGTGTAAATGTGGGCTTCCCCACTCTTCCCCAGATGCAGCTGTCCAGTTTCTGGAACGTGTCGGCACCGAGCTGGGCTTGGCCTGCCAGAAAGTGGAGGTGAGCAAGCTGAGAAGCAGCCTTCAGTCTGTCCACCCACCCATCCATCCATCCTGTGCTTGGGTCCTCAGTGACCGAGATGCTCCTCTGCCTGCACCCAGAGCTAGACAGGAGTGAATCCCTCTGCCTGTAATCCCCTGCTGACCTGAGCCCTTCCTTGAGCCGGTATTCCGGCTGCTCCCTGCTGACCTCTGCAGCTGCCTGTGCTATGATTAGCAGGGGACCTGGCAGCGTCACCTTGGCTGGGGCCATCCTTCCTGCTGGGCACTGGCTGTCCTGGGAGACTCCCTGGCACCAGGGGATCATGCTGGGTTTGTCTTCTCTACTCTGAATTTTCAGCCAGGTTTGACACCTGCAGCCAGGTTCTGTCTGGCTGTGGGGGTTTAGGCAGGCCTGCTCCTCTCCCAGTATAGAAGGGGGTGGCAGGTGGCATCCAGAAACTTTTCCCAAGCTGATGCTTTTCGGCTCCAGCTTGCTAATCCAAACCTTTCTGTCCCCATCCTGAACCCTGTGACATCCTGCCTTTGTCCCACAGGTGTGCCAGGGCCGTGTGGTGCTGGTCCTGACGTGGCAGGGCACGAACCCCCGCCTGCGCTCCATCCTCCTCAACTCCCACACTGACGTTGTGCCTGTCTTCGAGGTGCTGGAACAGAGCGAGGGGTGGAAAGGGCACGGAGAGGAGGCAGGGTAGATGGGAGCTGGTGCCTTCTGTGCCCCTCTGCCATCGTGGACGCTCTTCCCTGCAGGAGCACTGGACCTACCCCCCCTTCGAGGCAGTTAAAGACTCACAAGGCAACATCTACGCCCGGGGTGCCCAGGACATGAAGTGCGTCTCCATCCAGTGAGTGGAGGGCTCAGCACCTGCTGGGTGAGCACGGTGCTGGTGGTGTCCCTGAGTGATGCAGGACGGGATGCCACTATCCTTAGGGTCCCTGGGGCCAGAGGTGCCACTTCTGCCCTGAGGTGGCTCAGAGCACACGAGCCCCTCTCCTCCACAATGACCGTACACTGCCTTCCCTTGCAAGGTACCTCGAGGCCATCCGGAGGCTGAAGACAGAAGGGAAGTCTTTTGCCCGCACCATCCACCTCACCTTTGTGCCTGGTGAGTCCCCAGGCTGTCCCCTCTCAGGAGGTACAGGGGGGCTGGCAGCTGGGTGGTGCTGGGGAGTCTCCCATGGCAGCCAGGCTCCTCAGGTTCTGACCTCCCCTAGCTCAAGGCTGGAGAGGTTTCCATGTCCAAGGATATCATGTGTGCTGGTGGCATCCAGGCTGGCATGGAAGGAGGACTAGAGGTGGTGGGCTGCGGGAAGCCCCAGTTCCTCCCTCCATGCCAGGCTCTCCCCCACAGATGAGGAGGTGGGAGGACACAAGGGCATGGAGATGTTCGTGCAGCGCCCTGAGTTTAAAGCACTCAACGTGGGCTTTGCCATGGATGAGGGTGAGTATTGGTAGGGCTGGCACTGGGATGTGTCTCCTCTTGGCATCACTCCCCAGGCACCAGCACCCCACTTGCTTCCAGGGACCCCCTTGGGGGATCCTTCCCCTGGGGCAGGTGCCAGTCTGGAGGAAAATGCTGCTAGGACAGAGCAGCATTCGGTACCTCCGTGTCCCACTCACCCTCTGTCTGTGCCCACCACAGGCCTGGCCAGCCCATCTGACACCTTCAGTGTCTTCTATGGTGAGAGGAGCCCATGGTGTGAGTATCTGTGTGCCCACTGCCCTGTCCTTGGCTCTCCTGGGTGCTGGGGCACTGATGCTGTCCCAGGCTTTCTGCTCAACCCTTCCCTCTACGCCTGCAGGGATAAAGGTGAAGTGCGCGGGTAGCCCCGGGCATGGGTCCCGCTTCATCAGCAACACGGCAGCTGAGAAGATGGTGAGAGAGGGGATACCCCCTGTGCACCCCCATGCCTGCCCTGGGTGCCAGGCCCCTGCCCATGGGGCTGGTCCTCACCCACTGCCCTTCCCTCCCCAGCACAAAGTCATCACCTCCTTCCTGGCCTTCAGGGAGAGCGAGAAGCAGAGGTAGGAGATGGGCAGCAGGATTATTTCAGTCCATGAGAGGGGGCCTTTGGGGTCCCAAGCCAGGCTATGATCTGGTGCTGCTGCCCTGTGCCTCAGTTTCCCCATTTTGGGTGACAGCAGGGTAGGGAAGCACATCTCCCCAGGTGGCAGATAGTGTGTCCCTTGCATCCCCCAAGGCTCAAGTCCGACTCAAGCCTGACCCTGGGGGATGTCACCTCTCTCAACATGACCATGCTGGAGGGAGGTGTCTCCTTCAACGTGGTGCCCTCCGAGATGGCTGCCAGCTTTGACATCCGCATCCCACCCACCGTGGACCTGAAGGTGGGCACCATGCCAGCCCCACCCAGGAGAGGAGGGGGGATGAGGGTGCCCTGCTCTCACCCCTCCTCTGGTCTCTGCCCAGGCCTTCGAGAAGCAGGTGGCCACGTGGTGCCGTGATGCTGGGGAAGGTGTCACCTTTGAGTTCCACCAGGTGAGGGATCTCAGCTACCTGGCCTCCCCTGTCCCTCCCCTGCCAAATGCCACCCTCTCGCCCCTTCATCTGCCCTCTGCCTCTTGTCAGAAATGCATGGACCAACACATCACCTCCACTGAGGAGTCGGACCCATGGTGGAAGGCCTTCAGTGGAGTCTGCAGGGACATGTAAGTAGTGTCCCTAGGAAGGGCAGGACCCTGGCAGGGACATCCTCTGGTGGAAGCCAGGTGGTCCCTGGGGGCCTCTGAGGTCATGTCAGGGGCTGGGATGGGGATTTGCCAAAGCATCTCCCTGTTGCCCCGCAAAAGGGATGGGATTGAGTGTCCTGCAGGGATGAGGGATGTCCTGGCACAGTCTCTTTGCCCATGGGGTGTGAGTTGGACAGGGGACTCTGCTGGCAGTGTGTCTGTGCTGACACAGGGTCTGTCTTGGCAGGAAGCTGCAGCTCAAGCTGGAGATCTTCCCAGCTGCCACCGACAGCCGCTACATCCGAGCGGTGAGTGTGCTGCCAGCCTGCCCTCACCCGGGCTGGGACCACAGCCCCGAGCAGCAGCTGTGTGCAGCTGAAAGGGGGCTGTGACCTCACTCTGTGTGTCCCCATCTCCAGGCAGGACACCCTGCTATTGGCTTTTCCCCCATGAACCGCACGCCCGTGCTGCTGCATGACCACAACGAGTTCCTGAACGAGCAAATCTTCCTGCGGGGCATCGAGATCTACGCCCGCCTCCTGACTGCCCTGGCATCAGTGCCCCCGCTGCCCGCCGAGGGCTGAGCGCCTGGCGAGGGGCAGGGAGTGCCAAGCAGAGACACAAGGCTTTAAAAAGAGGGGCAGGGGCTCTGGGCACAGCAAATACCTGCTCTGGTGCTGGGGATGTAGATGGCATCGTGCCATGTTGGCTGTGTTCAGGGCTGGCCTGATGGGGACACCCACAGGGTTGTGTCCCCCGTGGTCAGGTGCCACCAGAGCCTCGTGCCCAGGTGCCTCCAGCCTTTCCTGGTGTTGTCAGTGCCTCCCCCTCTCCCTGTGCCATCTCTGGCTGCACTGGCTGGGTGATGAGGGGCTGGCCAGTGCCCCACTCTGCCTCCCCATGCCTTGTCCTGCCTCCCTGCCCGCTTGCTGGGGGAGCTGGGGCCAGTGCTGCCCACTCTCCCTATCAATAAATCTCCTTGGTAAGCACAGCCTGGAGCAGGGCAGTGTGTCTGTCTGTCTGTCCATGCTGGTGCTACCCACGGGGTCTCACTGAGGCACACAGATTTCCTGGTGGAGTGCAGTTGCTGGGGTGGTTCTCCTGCCCTGGGCTCATTGCCTGCATGACAGCAGTGCAGGCAGGATCCTGCCCGGGCAGGCTGAGGGCCTCTGCTCCCGATCAGCCTCGGGGGACGGGCACTGGGGCTCATCCTGCTCCCTCCCTCCTTCCCTCCCTCCTGAGCTTCTGCCGCTTGCACAGACCCTCTGGTCAGGGCAGGCAGCGAGCGGGTCTGGGCAGGCACCTCTGCTCACCTGCCAGAGCTGCCTTGGCTGCTCCTCCTCCTCCTCCCTGCTTGTTCCCAGCCCTGTGCGGCTCCCAGTGCCCCGGGGTGTGGGATCTGTCCTGGCCATGTGGCTTCCTGGGGAAACCAAGGGCCAAGAGTGAATTGGGGTGGTTTTACACGGCTCAGGAGGCTGCCAGAGCTGCTCCATTACAAAAGGTGGGGGTGAGCCAGGCTTCCCAGCCTCCTGACCTCTGTTTTAATTAAAAAAGCTGCTGGAACCCTTGGGGGGCTGGGAGTAATGAGGGTGTCGTGTGCTGGGCTGGGAGGACAGATGAGGCTGGTGGTGATGAAGCACTGAGGGAGAAGCCACCAGCTCCTCTGGGGAAGGATGCTCCTTCCTCTCCATCCAGTGCAGGGGGAAGTCCAACATTTTTGGGTGCAGGACATGCTGTGTGATGAGGCTCTCAGGGGAAGCTGGCATCTGAGGTCTCCTACAACCACATCCAGTGACCCAGCAGCCGTGGGGGAGGATGGCACAGGAGTGGTGTGGGTACCTTGGGGTCCTTGCGGGCCAGGATCCTTGCCCGGGGTGTTGGCACCTTTGCTTTTCCCTGCCCTATTGGTGTGCCAGGCTACCTGTGGCAGCCTGTGCTCCCCCTATGGCACCCTACTCATTCCCCTCCCCATCTGGCCTGCTGTCCCCAGCCTTCCTGGCACTGAGATGGGACTGACAGCTGCGTGCTTGCTGATGCTGGGCGATCACAGCACGCCGAGCATCCTCCTTGGGGACAGGTCTGTGTGGCCTCTCCTGCTCCTCCAGCGGTGCGAGACCAGGGGACCAGAGCTTCCCTGCCTTGCTCCCCATCCTCGGGGATGAGCCGGAGGTGCTGCCAGGGTCACTTCAGGAGAAGGGGACTGCAGTGAGGTCTAAAGCTGTTGTATCGCACTAAAGCGTCGCTGGCAGGGGCACTTTGGGGTGCGCGGAGCTCTCGGGTCTCCCCGGGAGATGGGGCCGTGTCCCCGCGCATCCCCGCCGCCCGGGGCCGGGGTTTGGCGGGGCCGGGCCGGGGCGGGCCGGGGCGGGCCGGGGGCGGTCGGATGGCGGCCCCATAAAGGCTCGGTGCCACGGCGGGCCGAGGGCGCGGCGGCGGGATGCGGGTGGCGGTGTCGCTGTCGCTGTGCTGGCTCTGGGCGGCGGGGCTCAGCCTGCCCCGGCTGCGCCTGTCCTACCGCGGTGAGCCGGGCCGGGGGCACCTGCTGCGGGACGGGACGGGGGTGGCCAGGGAGGCGTGACCTCGGGGGACAGCGTTGGGGACCTGGGGAGCCTCAGCTGCGGGAGCTGCACCCAGTGCGGGGTTTTGGGGCGGTTTGTGGGCAAATTGTGCTGGGGTTTCGTGGGTGGCTGCTCTGCACCCTCCGCTCCCCGCCGGGACGTAGGGGACCCCCGAGGAGGAGGAGGAGAGGAGCGGGGTGACGGGGACAGGGGACAGGGATGTGCCGGTGCCGCCGGGCTCCGCGCCAGCCCCGCCGCTGCCATGGGGGCTCGTCTCCCACGCGGCGTGCGGGGAAACTGAGGCACGGCGGTGTCCTGGCCCCGCACGCTTTGGCTCCTGTGCCGGGCGGGTGCTCAGCATCCTGCCCCCGGCTGTTTGGGGGTCCCGGTGCACCCCCGAGCCCCGTCGCGCTGGGATGCGGGTGCCGGGGCCCCTCGGGGGTGCGGGGGCAGCGCTCGGGTTTAATTAAAGCTCTCCCTGTGATCCTGCTCTGGCTCGCCGCATCCCCCGCTCTGCCAGCCTAATCCGTGGCTGCTCCAGCCAAACCTGACAGAGCCTGGGGCGCCCCAGTCTCCTCCCGGCCTCAAAGCAATGAACCTGCTCTAAAAAATGCAACATAAAATAAATTACATCATGTATATCTTCCCCCTTCCTTCCCAGGAGGGGGACAGACCTGGGCAGCCCCGCACTTCCAGAGCCTCGGGAGCTGCAGTGCCAGGGAAAGTCGCTCCTGTGCTGCCTGGGCTGGGGGTTCCCGGGTTTGGCTGCACCCCTTGCTCTGTCCTGGGGCACAGCAGGTGACCCCAGGGTCTGCCTGTCTGTGGAACGGGAAACTGAGGCACACAGTGCCCCCCATCCCTCATGCTGCGAGCGCGGCGTGGCTCATGGCTCTGCCCCGGGACGCGACCCGGTGTCCTCAGGCTGGCCTTGGCACAGGGTGAGGGGATCTGGGGTCTCAGCAGGGGTGAATCGCGGAGCTCGGTGTCTGGCTCAGAGTCTGATCCTCTCCAGCACAAAGTCCATTTCCCAGGTGCGAGGAGCTGCCCGGGGCGGGGTGGAAGCTCCTCAGCCTCCCACGGGAAGCCAGCCACCTTTGGAAGCTGCCTTTTTTTTTTTTTTTTTTTTTTCCCTTAAGCTGGTTATTCCATTCGTTTTCCAAATTGGAAACAGCAACTGAAATTTCCCATGAAACAAATTCTGCCACCGCCTTCTCCCCGGGGGAAGAAAAAAGAAAAAGAAAATTTCAATTAAAGACATTAGTCTCTGAAATGAAAACCGTGGTGAGCTGAGGCTGTTTGTGCAGAGCTCCTCGTCCTGGGCTCTGCGTGGCTGCTGGCTCTGGCTGTGAGGTGACTCTGTGGGGTGACAGGGACAGGCACTGTGCTGTGGGTGCAGGGGTGGCCGTGTACCCAGCTCTCCCTCACACTTCCAGCCACTCTTTCCCTTTTGTTTTCACTTCTAGCAGTGGCTCATGTGAGAGGAGAAAGAGCATTTTGCTGTTGTGAGGACCAGCAATATTTTCCTGTACTCTTTGCTGTCCCTCCCCAGGGACCCCACCCTGGGGTGAGGGTGTCCCAGGGATGGATGGGCATGGCAAAGGGCTGGTCTCTGGGGATTGCAGGGGAAGGAGCCCTGAGCCATTGTAACCCGAGGCACAGGAGGAATTCTCCAGGTCTGGGGGAGAAGGGGAAGCCTTGCCTGAAACAATGAAAGGAGCCTGCCGACTTTGCCAGTGTTGTTTTGAGCTGGGAAAATATTATTGCTGGGCAAGAATAGAAGGAGACGACAGTGTTTTTCTGGGCTGGACCTGGCCATATGGGAGGACCTGGTGCTGTAGGACACAGGGAGGAGGGTGCCAGACTGGGTGGAGGGACCAGCACTGCCTGGAGCCAGCCCTGCTTGCAGGCACAGGGGTGTTTCCAATGGGGATGGAGCACTGGGGCTGTATCCCCCATGCCCCTGGGGCACTGGGAACTGCCCCTGAGCAGGGATAGGGTGTGTGGTGGGGTGAAGGTGTCTGCTGTCCCCTGCTGGGGATGAACCTTGCCTCCCTTGCAGGGCCTGGAAGAGGCATTTCCACCAGAATGGGAATTATGTCACTGGCCACCTCCTTCCTGGAAGCGACAAATGTCCCCCCAGCAAGAGCAGGACTTGGTAGCCCAGTGTCCTGACCTGTGGTGACTGGGTTTGTCCCAGCACCATGTCCCTCTTCTGGGGACATGTGTGGGAGATGTTGGGGCTGGGTTTTTCCCTGGGGTCAGCTGCAGTGGCTGGCACTCTTCCGGGCTGGAGGGTGTTTGGGGACAGAGCTGTGCTCATCAATGGTGCTTTGTCCTCTTCTTCTCTGTCTGGCAGGCACAGTGGCCTGGCCTGGGGTCGGGATGGGTTCTCAGAGCCCTGTGAAGCTGAACCATTCCCTCTGGCCCTCTCCCTCTGGCAGCTGTGGCACTCTGTGGGCACCACTGTGCCGGCTCGATGACCCTGAAAGTAATTTCCTACTGGAAACCATTTGAGCCACTGCCCCCATGTCATCATCACTGTGAGGCATTGCACGAGATTCAGGCTTGGACTTGCTCTGGGGGCTTTGGCTGTCAGAGCCTGTTGTCTGGGATGTGATGTCCATCTCTGGGATACCCCTATGCTGGTGCCTCTTCCCAAGTGCCTGGTCTGTGCCATGGAGGAAACCTTCCTGCCAGTGAGTTCTGGTGGCACTGGCAGCAGCGGGCTTTGTGTGGCAGTTTCCCCATGGTACTGGCTGGGTGCCTGCTATTGTGTCCCTGGCTGGCACCCAGCAGGGACAGGACCTGCCTTGCACCCACCCCGTGTCCGGTCTCGCCTCCATCCCAGCCTGGGGCTGGTGGCACTGCCCAGCCCAGTTTGCTGTGGCACGGCCACAGTGGGAGTCTGGACTGGTTCAGCCAAACCTTGCTGGGGGTGGCAGCCTTTCCTGGGACCCTGCTGCTGATTGCTGGCTCTGCAGCTTTGTCCTTGGCTGGCAGGGAGGGCAGCACTCCAGCCAGGCTGAGGCTGGGGTGTCCATGAGGCAGACGCTGCAGGCTGGGGTGGCTGTGAGCAGCTCTGCTGGCTCCTGCACAGCTGCATGACACTCAGCAGCTCAGAGGAGCCCTTGGGGATGGGATGGCTCCTGCTGATGATGCTTTCACCTCTTCCTGGCAGAGCTTTTAGCCTCCAACCGCTCCGTGCTGTTCTTTGGCCACCGCGGCTCCCTGGGCCTGCGCTGCCTCTACCTGGACGAGTACCGCGACCGGCTCTTCCTCGGAGGCAAGGATGTGCTCTACTCCCTGCTCCTGGACGGGGCCACTGCAGGTGCCAAGGAGGTGAGCTGGGTGCTCCGGGGGTGTCTGTCCCCACCCTGGCTCCCTGTGGGCCTGTTGGTGTCCAGTGAGCTGGGCAAAGTCACTCTGCAGCAAGGCCTGCCCTGGGCATGGCCTCATCTCAAGTGCCTCGAAATTATTCTGTAAACTTGTAGTGCCTGGCAAGGGCAGGCTGGCTGAGGTGGCTGGAGGGAAATTAGCTGGCAGTTAGTCATGATCATCAGCCTAGGAGACTGGTGGTGCAGCTCACCAGTGAGCTGGGCACTCAGCATTGTTTTGGACTCCACTCTTCTAAGAAACTGCCACTGGGAGATGGAGTGATGCCCATCCCCATCTGGGCATCCTTTTCAGAGGGCAAATATTCAGCTGAAAGCCTGCAGAGGCAAGGAGCTAAAGGGATCCATCACTGCAAGAACTTGTGCCAGGGTTCACCTGGCAAAGCCTCCAAATCTCTCCTGGTTCCTTGGTGGGAGAGGTGATGAACCAGAATGATGATGCTGGGTGCTGGCTCCCCTCCTCTTTCACCCTCTCCACTTTGACTTTTTGTTTTCCAAACCCGGCTCTGGGCTGTTTCTAGCTGAAGAGAGGGGAGGAGGAAATGAAGTGCCCCTCAGCGAGCTGGGTCACTGCAGTGGGGTCAAGGGCTTGTGTACCCAAGCTGCCCTCGGTCTGAGAGCTGCCAAAGGCTGTGGGGGACAGAGACTCCATCACTCCTGCTGTCCCCTGGGTACCCTTTCCCCAGGCCACCCACAAGCCCACCCCCTTCCAGGGCAGCTCCAGCCATTCCCAGCATCACCACCCAAATCCAGCCCGGCTGTGGGCTCTGACTGCCAGGCTGCATCTGCCCAGGAGGGAGGGTCCTGCTTGGGGTTGTGGGGTGGGAGTGCCTGGCTGGGTGGGCTCCAGGGAGCTGTGGTCCCTCTCTCTGTCCCTCTATCTCCTTGCCATTGGCAGCCTGGGGACGTGGATTTGCATGGCTGGGTGCCTGCTGTCCCCCCTCCCTGCTCCAGCCCGCCCTTTGTGTTCCAGATCTATTGGCCACCCCGCCCTGGGCAGACGGAGGAGTGTCTTCAGAAGGGGAAGGACCCAGGGGTGAGTCTCTCCCCGTGTGTGCTCTGCTGTGAGCTGGGGGTGCCAGATGGGTCCCCTTGTGACAGATGGCTCCTCCCATGTTGGGGCTGTGCCATGTCACCTGCCAGGGATGGCCCTGGGGCTCAGGGGCCAGTTAATCCTGGTGCAAGAGGGAAACTGAGGCAGGGAATCTGTGGCCAATCCTGGCCACGCAGGAGGCTTGCTCCAGGCTTTGGAAAACCTGTCTTAGTTGCTGTGCTCACAGAGTGGTGGCCAGCATGTCCCAGTGTGGCAGCACGAGCAGGCAGGGTTAGCTGGGTTCTGGGACTGCAGCTTGGAGGGACCCAAACCCCCATGCTGTGCTCCAGACCCCAGCAACACTGCCTGCCCCATCCTGGCTGTCCCTGATTGTGGGAAATCTGTAACTGGCTCAGGTTTGGTGACCTTGTTCCCTAAACCTTACCCGTTTTTGCATCCTCCTGCCCGATATGAAGCAGGACTGTGGCGGGGAGAAAGTCCCCAAGGCTCCCCTGGCCCAGACAAATTACTCCCAGGAGTCCCTGTTCTGCTCTCTGTGTTTATTTTACCAGCTCTCACCGACAGATCCAAGCCAGGCCAGGCTCAACTTTTTATTTTTCTTGAACGTATATTTTTTTCCCCTTGCTATTTTAGAGGCTCTTTGTGAAGGGAAAATAAACAGCAGGAGGCTGGGAGCCCCCGGGGCGGCTGGGCAGCGGTGTTCCCAGCAGAGGAGGGGCCTGCATCCCGCTGTGGAGGGGACAATGGAGGGCAGGCAGGGCTGGTGCTGGCCGGGGGAGCTGCCAAGCTAATGGTGGAGAAGGATGGGAGCCCTTTTCCAATGGGAACTGCCAGGAGAGAATGCACAAAGTCAGAGGTGGCAGGTCTCCAGCCCTGGGAATGTCACTGCTGCCGTCCTTCAGAGAAGGGGACAATTCCAGACGGCAGCGAGCAGGGCTGTTCTGGAGGCAGCCCAGGATGCCTGTGGGTCTCTGTCTCCACTGTTTCCTCCTTTTGTTTCATCCCTGGCGTAAGCAAGAACGTGATGGGGAAGGATGTCCTTGCATCTGGTCACGTCCTGGGCGCCAGGGGTTCGGGGCAGGGTGTGCAGCTTGCAGGGCAGGTGACATTGCTGCCCTGGCCAGCGTGCACTGTGCCACAGGGTGAGTGCACAGGTGCCTGTGGGCAGGAGATGGCAGCTGGATCCTGTGTGGTTCCCCGGGATGCTCTGGGCAGCAGGAGGAGCAGTAAAAAGCCCTGTAGTTTTGCAGTGGGCTGGGGCCCACCCAGATTAAGTCCATGCAAGCCCTGTCAGTGGGCACAAGCTGCCACCCCAGATCCCTGGCACCAGGCTGGGTGGAGCCCCGGGAGCCAGGGCTGGGGCTCACCCACTGTGGCAGGGCCCCAGGCAGAGGCAGGGAGCTGGGGCGGGCACAGTGACCCAGTGACCCTTCAATACCCCGTGACCCTTCCTGTCCCTGCTGTTCCCCAGACTGACTGTGCCAACTATGTCCGTGTGCTGCATCCCTACAACCGGACACACCTGCTGGCCTGCGGGACAGGCGCCTTCCACCCCATGTGCACCTTCATCTATGTGGGGCACCGTGGTGAGGTAGGGCAGCATCCCCAGCAGGACAGCCCTGGAATGTGGGTCCCCATTGCCTGCCTCTCTCCTGAGGGGCCTTGGGACTGCAGGGGGATGCTGGATGTGCTGTTTGCTCTAACCTGAGTACTGGTGGTGGGGGGAGTGTCAGGAACCAGCTCCCTGTTGTCCCGTTGTCCTTCTGCTACTCCCTGTCCAGCTTTCCCACCTGTCTGGCCTGGGATCCCCTTTATAGACCTGTCCCCAGGGGCTGGTGTCCTGCCAGGGGCTGAGGTAGGGGTGGCATTTTCTCCTCTCCAGCTCACTGCTCATAAATCAGGTTGGCTGGGGTGAAATGGCAGGGCACCCCTCAGAGCCCTCCCTACAGCCTGGCCCTGTCTGGGCAGCAGGAGCCCTGTCTGTACCATGATCACTCTGACCAGGGAGCCGAGCAAGCAACGGGGCTGGTGGGTCCCCTTCAGCTGCCATGCACCCTCATGGGATCAGTCTTGCCTCAAAAAGCTGTTTGCAGATGGTCCTTTGGGTGCCCTGAGTGAGGTGCAGGTTGGGCAGGGAGCAGAGGTGGCCCCACCATGGCCCAGGGCTCACCAGCCTGCTCCCTCCCCAGCACACCTTCAGCCTGGACGCTGCCAGTGTGGAGAGCGGCCGGGGCCGGTGCCCGCACGAGCCCAGCCGCGCCTTTGCCAGCACCGTCATCGGTGGGTGTCCTCCTGGGGATGTGGGAGCTCGGGGGTGTCCCAGGGCCGGTCCCCGTGGCAGCAGCTGGGTGTGTTTGCAGGAGGGGAGCTGTACGCCGGCCTCACGGCAGATTTCCTGGGGCGCGATCCTGGCGTGTTCCGCAGCATGGGGACGCGCTCCGCCCTGCGCACGGAGGTGGATCAGCGCCTGCTGCATGGTAACAGCTGCCCTCTGCCCCTCCATTGCCCCCAGCCAGGAACCACCAACCCTGTGGCCATGCTGCAGCATCCCCCATGCCAGCTAAGGGCAGAGACAGGCACCAGGGCAGCAAGGTCTGGGGGTGGTGCTGGCTGGCATCCAGCCCCAGCATGGACTGAGGCTTTGGAGTTGGTGGCTGTGCCCTCTCTCCCCACCTGACATGACTGGCTCTTGTTTGCAGATCCCAAATTTGTGGCAGCCCACTTGATCCCAGACAACGATGACCGGGACAATGACAAAGCCTATTTCTTCTTCACGGAGAAGGTGGTGGAGGCAGACAGCAGGGAGCACGCCATTGTCAGCCGTGTGGGGCGTGTCTGCGTGGTAGGATGCTGGTGGGGACCGTGGGGGACAGGGATGCACCAGTCACAGCAGTCGCCCTGATACTCCTTGTCCCTGCAGAACGATGCTGGTGGCCAGAGGGTGCTGGTCAACAAGTGGAGCACCTTCAACAAGGCCCGGCTGGTGTGCTCAGTCCCCGGCCCTGATGGCATTGACACCTACTTTGATGAGCTGGGTAAGGAGTGAGCTGGGTAAGTGAGATACAGCTCTGTACAAGTGGAGCTGTATCTCACTGGGGCTAGTCACTTAGTTGGATTTCAGGAAAAAGCCCATGCTTTCATTTCCAGAGGATGTCTTCTTGCTGAGGACGAAGGATAGGAAGAACCCAGAGATCTATGCCCTTTTTAGCACTGTCAGGTGAGTGCTCCAGCTCCAGCCTCTGGGGACATCCAGCTGCAGCTGCCCATGACCTGCCCTGTCACTGTCACCAAGGATTGCTGGCTGCTCCCCATGTGTTTTGGGGATGTGGGTGCCCCTGCTGCCAGCAGTGTCAAGCATGGCTCTGCTCAACCCCCTCTCCATCCCCTTGCAGCCACGTTTTCCGGGGCTCTGCTGTCTGTGTGTACCGCATGGCCGACATCAGGGAGGTGTTCAATGGGCCCTTTGCCCACCGGGAGAGCCCCCATCACCAGTGGGCTGCCTACGAGGGCAGGGTGCCCTACCCACGGCCGGGCGTGGTGAGTGACTCCCTGGAGCTCCAGGTCCCTCCCCTCCTCCAGCTGCTCTTCTGGGCTGGTGATGGAGCCATGCCCATTTCTCACCTGCTGAAGAGGTCAGCTGATGCTTTGCCAAGCTCTGGCACAGGGGTGGAAGAGATGGATGCCAAACTGGAAGGCAGAGAGGGACCCAAGACATCTCTGAGGGACGATGGAGGGGGAAGGAGTGATGGGTGCAGGGGTGTCTGGGCTGAGCTGGTCCCCTCTGTCCCTGCAGTGTCCCAGCAAGACCACCAACCAGCCCCGGCGGCAGTATGGCACCACCAAGGACTTCCCTGATGAGGTGCTGCACTTTGCCCGTGCCCACCCCCTCATGTTCCAGCCCGTGCTGCCCCGGCACCGCCGGCCCCTCCTGGTGAAGACTGACCTGCCCCAGCGGCTGCGCCAGCTCGTGGTGGACAGGGTGGAGGCTGAGGATGGGCAGCATGACATCCTCTTCCTCGGCACAGGTGAGCAGCAGGGGCAGAGTGCAGGAAGGAGCCGCAGAGCTGGGGATCCCAGTGGGCACCCCCTGGGCTGCGAGATGCAGGGTGCTCACACCTCCATCCTCCTGGGCCCCCAGATGCTGGCTCGGTGCTCAAGGTGGTGGTCACGCAGAAGACAAACTCAGCCGTGACTGAAGAAGTCATCCTGGAGGAGCTGCAGGTTTTTAAGGTGACATTTACTGCCCCACTTGCAAGGGAGGGGGCAGTGGGGTGGGCTTAGGTTGCGGACACATGTAGGGATGGAGGGTCAGGGCTGTCACTGCATTGTTGGCCACTGGAAGGTCTCAGGGTTGTGAGGGCAGAGGCTGGCTGGGGGTATTTTCACCCTCCCCAAAACATTCCTGATGCTCTGCCAAGCCCTGGTGGCTCTGAATGAGCCAGGCTGTCTGTGGTGGGGATTATGCCAGCCTGATGTCCACTCCCCTCCCCTACAGATGCCTGTGCCCATCACCCAGATGGAGATCTCTGTCAAACGTGTGAGTACAGACAAGGCTCAGCCACGGGGCTGGGGACCAGGCAGGTGTCCAGCTGTGGTCACCAGCCCCCTAAAGCCATGTCATGTGTGCCCTGGGGTGTCCTGGCTGGGCCCCCAGGTACTGAGCCCATGGGGGTTGCCAACCTCACCACCTTGGTGCTGTTCCCCCAGCAAACGCTCTATGTGGGCTCCAGCCTGGGCGTGGCCCAGGTGCGGCTGCACCAGTGCGAGTCCTACGGCACTGCCTGTGCCGAGTGCTGCCTGGCCAGGGATCCCTACTGTGCCTGGGATGGCACTGCCTGCACCCACTACCAGCCCTCGGGCAAGCGCCGCCAGCGCCGCCAGGACGGGCGCCACGCTAACCCTGCCCACCAGTGCCTGGACCAGAACCTCACCGGTGAGACACTGGGGGTCCCAGGGCTGGGGGGCTCCTCACAGTGCCCCAGGATGGCCTGACATGCACAGCCCTGGCACACAGAGGGGCTTATGGCCTTTCCATGTGGGCACCCTCACCTGCCCATCTCAGAGACCAGGGCATGCCCCAAGAGAAGGTGGGTGCTGCTTGGGCTGGGGCACTGGGAGAGAAGGGGATGAAGCCACACAGTAGCCAAGAGGGGCTGGCACCTGGTGGGGGCAGGTAGAAGCCTGGCTATGTGCTCCCTGCCAGCCCATGCCTGTGTTTGCCCTAGTGGACGATTTTGAGAGCATTGAGGAGAAGGTGCTCTACGGGGCAGAGGACAACAGCACCTTCCTGGAGTGCGTGCCCCGCTCCCCGCAGGCCAGCGTGCAGTGGTTTGTGCAGAGGCCGCCTGACGAGCAGC